CCCCCCCCCCCCCCCCGCAATGCCGCACCCGGTGGCAATGTGTTTTTACGCGTCAGCACATGAGTGTAATGTATTACAATGTATTAAGTACTCTTTGACCAAGTGTTAGAGCAACGTAAGGTACCACTCCGCAAACGAATAAGAGACGTGTTTCTTGTTTCTTAGAAGGTACACATAAACGCACCGAAAGAAAACCCGTTCGAGATATAACATAACTTGCACCTCCCTCGAAGTACACCGTGAGGTTGCGAGTTAGCTATTATAGAGCACAGGGACAGGGACAGGGACAGGGACAGGGGTGCGATCGTTTTTTAAAGCGCAATTTCTCCGCAACCAGGAAGGTGCGAGCGCCAACTGATGCTTCTCTGGAAAACTCTCGATGGGATGTTTCCAAAACCGCCCTGTTCGGCGGTGGTAACCTCCTCGTTGTGGAGAAATGACGCTTTCAAAATCGTTCGCACCCCTGTCCCTGTCCCTGTGCGCTATAATAGCTAACTCGCAAGCTCACGGTATTCTTTCTAGCGAGTACTCGGTAAGATAACACCAGTTCTGCGGCAATGTTTCCGCGGTGCTGTTGGGAGTTGGGTCAAATAATTGACAGTCGTGGGCGCGGTTCAAGGACCCCTATTATTATAGTGTCCGAAGGGACTGTGGTCGCTTTCCAGGGCAGGCTACTGTCACTGTTGCCGGTATAGCGGCGATCAGTCGGGTAGTAGCACGCAATTCTGTGGTCGCTATTCAGGGTATGTCGCTAAACTGGGCTCACCACCGTATACATGCACTCTGGAGGCAGTGTATTAACTCTTGGGAGGTTTGCTGCTGGCAATCGGAATGGAACACCTTTAGTGACCATGTATTATATTTATTCCTTGTGCGGGAAACTCTATTATAGACGTATTAACTACTTCCGCGCGGTGTCCTGCAAAGAGCCCTCCTGTCAATAGCGGCACCAGATCTTTCGTATATGTGTTCACAGTCTTGATAAGATGTGTGCACCATGGTCTCATGTTTCTCCCTCATCTCGCTGTCTCCCCCTCTCTGCTGTCTCTCGGTCTCTCTTTGCCTATCTATCTCTCACTCTCTCTCTCCTCCCTCCCCCCTCTCTCTGTCTGTCTCTCTTTCCCTATCTCGCCCCCGATATATATTTTCTCCATTGGCAACGCCGCCTGCAGTCTCAGCGTTGGAAGCAGGCGAGGGTGATTCTCGACTTCATGCGAGACCCCAACAACGTTGCAACGATCGAATGCGGAGGGCTACTCTTCCCCGTCCTGGACATCAACGGTGCAAGCACCGACCTAAATATAGTGGTGGACGGGTTAGGACGGAAGAACGGCGAGGTCAACGTTGGCAAAGGCGGTCGAGCCCCTGCTGAGGCAAGAAGCGAAGGTAGCGCCGTTGGATTGCCCTCGACAACGACCACCTCCATCAGCAGCAGTAGCAACCAAGATAATGGTGGGACTCCCGTGAAGCGACGGCGGACGAGAGAGGGGGGGTCTTGGCCTCCACGCCCGGACGCGGTCAGCTTTCACACGGTCATGAAGGCGTTAGCAACAGAGGGGATGTGGCACGAGGCGGTGGAATTGTTGGAGGAAATGGTGGAAGAAAGGTGAGTTATGCCGGCGTTTGAGTTTAGGAGTGGAAAGAAGTTGTATACTAAGGCACATTCCGAACGTTTTCCCCAACGGTGAGAATTGCTGTTATGGCGCTGCGAATATCCGCTGGAGCTTTCAAAATAGCTCATGGCAATCCAACTGGCCATGGACATGCTAGAAGAAGACGCCCATACATTCGGAGATGGAACTTCTACTTAGTTGGATGCCGTCGTTGAGTTGGTTCGATTGTTGTAAAGTCGTGGGTCCGACATAAGAGAGTAACGCATGAAGTGGGGTTTCCAAAATGAGAGGGTCGAAATTGGTCGTCACGGACTCGACCCGCTAGACAACAGTGTAGGGTACGTTATTTTTCCGATATTGGAGGGGGCTCCGACATCCACAGATATACATGAGGGTCGAGGGCTCGTGTCATACCACCCTCTCCTGTCGGAGCCACGACTTGCACCATACCATACTTGTCTCTGTTGCAGCTTTGCCGTTGGCATCCCTGCGCGTTACGACCGTTGATACGACCGTTGTCCGGTCGGCAGGCGGCGGTTCCTTCGGTCCGACGAGGCCTTTCTGGAGACCACTGTGGGGGGGGGAGGAGGGGGAGGTCGGCAGCAGCAACAGCAGCAGTGGCCAGTCAACATCGACCGGTTTCGTGGGGTGTTCGAGATGGAGCTCAAGAACAACGAGGTCGTCGGGCACGAGCAGCGGGGGGACTGGTCGAAGTTCGAGGTCTCGCCGCAGGTGTCCCTGAGGGCGAAGGCCATGGACCTGCTCATGGTGATGGAGAGAGAGGAGAAGGAGGCGCGCCTCAAGAGGCAGACGCTGTACGACAACATCGCACGCCGGTAGTTGGTCTGGTTCGTAACACCGCGTTGGTCTATTTTACCCTGTGGGGGTATTGATGGCGATCCCGGCTTGCACGTACAGGTAACATACGACCGTGAGACAAGCCCGCTCCGAGCCGAGTGGTTACAGTACCCTTGCACGGAAGTACGATGTTAATGCTTCACGTCCAAGTTTGGTATTTGATCTAAAACGATTGCCGAGTTGTGTTTGTCTCTGGTTGGGGCTGGCCTGTATCCTAGCTGTGTTTATCTCTGCTTGGGGCTGGCTCAATTGAAACGAGCGCGCTCTTATCCCTTGGCTTAGTACCCTCGAACGGAAGTCCAATGTTTCTTGTTCAAATCTGGTATTTGATCTGAAATATGGTATATATTGTTCATCTCTGAGTGGGGCTGGCTCAAATACTTCAGGGGTTGTATGCGCCGTTGTTGTCAGTGGATGACCACGGTTTTTTTAATTTGGTGGGTTGGGATGTGTTCTCGACAGAGAGTGAGGAAGAAAGACTTGTCACGGGAGCGGATGGTCTTGGTTGCTCTGGTCTAATCAGCGTTCCAGCTAAGGCATGGAATCGGCCTCCCTTCAGGCCAGGCCGACCTACGCTTGAGGTAGGCGTGATGCACTCAAGTTTTGCACATTCAAATATTTTTTTCTTGTGTGTCGCGGGTATGTTGAGCACGGAGAATGCCGCTTTGTGATAGGTGGTCCTAAATTGGCAACACAGCTTGCCTCAGGGAACTGCTGTGCTGGTGCTCTAAGAGATTGTCGGTAACGCTGAGTTATTGTCGTTGTCATGATTCGGGACGGCGCGAAACCATGAAGGGTTTGTTATGGAAGAAAGCGGTATTGTACTTGTTATCATGGGCGAACGGACATGCATCTAAGTTTCCCCCTGCTCCTCTCGCTCGAGCACGCCAAAGCACCAATAGATTAGCGTGTGTTGTACTAGACTAGGCTTATTGTGTGTCTGGGGAGCGAAGGGGGCGGGTGTTCGCTGACGTGAACAAACTGGGCGATCGAGGCCGCGTGATGCTTCGGTTTTAACCATTTAAATTTTTGATATAACATGAGGTTCCTTTTGTTCGGCACAGCGCGATGTGATGTAGTCGCAGCCGGTGGCGGTTAGCTATCCCAGCCCCTCACCTTTGGCGGACCACCAGCTGTCCACGACCCGACCAAAGGGGCCACAGCACAGAGTGCTTGTACCCCCCTCCGCTATCTCGACAAGAACTGCGCAGCAGCCTCGCAATCAATTCTTCATCCACACGCGTGCTCATGCTTCCAAGATTCTGCGTTCCGGAACACCCGGGGGGACAGGACATGCTTCTCCGCTTGCAAGTCTCACGGGCCTGACGGCCCGCGAGGCCACTGGTGGGTTGGGCGAAAATCCTCCGACGGTTCCGTTCCGACGGTTGGCAGCAAAGGTGTCGAGAGGAAGGGAAGCACTGCCCAGAGTGCTTCCCCGCACGGCGAGTTGGAACAGCCGGTCCCCCAGGTGTCCCGCTCCTCCTCTCGACTCATGACCCGCAAGAAAACACACCTTTCTATAACAACCGACGCATGCATGTTGGTTTTTGTTCTGTGTCTGTCGAATCGAGAGGTGTTGAGGTTGGATTGCAGGTGATACCACCGTGCAATCGAGGTCCAGGTTCCCTTATCTTGGTGGTGTGCAGTGTACCACTCACTACTGTGCGGTGCGAAGAGATTGAACCAAGGCCCCTTGGATTCCATACCAAATCACCAGTAACAAACCACCAGCACCACTGCTTTCATAAGCTCAGCTTCCGCTTTGTTGGCCCCCCCTAGCACGAAGGTCATTATGCGTGTTCCCTCTCTTCTTATTGTGCACCGTCGAAAGGTCCTCCTTTTTTTAGGCCAGATCAGGTTGAGCGTGTTGATGCGTCGTTAGAGCTGAGGCATGAGCCCGTTCCTTTTATCTCGGATCGAACTCGAGACAAAACCTACAAAACACGGAACAGCGCCCGCAATAAAACGATAAACAACTATGCATAGGGCAACAAAAAAACATCGGATTCCATCAACTGAAGAAAACACTCAGCTCTAAAACAACAGACGGAACAAACAAACTAGCAGCTGACGATAATAATCTGCTCTACATGAAGCCTTCAGAAAAATGTAATGACGAGTGAAAGGCGTCCACATCAATCAGAAAACTTGCCTGACACCGCACGCGTATCACGTGGTGTGCTCTTCTTACATGCAGTTAGCGCCCGCGATTTAGAAAACGAGGCTCAGATTATGGCGGTGAATAAGAGAAATCGACCAAGAAACACACCTCAGCCGTGGATCCTACACTAAACTCTACATTGTCCAGTAACCTAGCTATGCTTGACGGTGGTGTCGAAATAAGAAATTGAGCCTCGACCCCAAATTGGCGCCAACCGTACGAAAGTCTACACAGCCAGGTATAGGTCTTTTAAGACCGCTGGTGGGGGATGTCGTTCGAAACAGGTGACAACGACCTCCCTCAGGATGCCCATTATCCCCTCTCCCGCGAAGCTGGTGCAGAACAGTAGGGGGTATCCTTGTTCCTCACACCACCCGCGAACTTCCTGGAAAACCAAAGAATAACATCAACAACGTACAGGCGGACAAAGCCACAGCAGTGTTTCATGGAGTCTGTATCCCTGACGAGGTTCGGCTCACCCACAACAGCATGCATTACATTACAAATCCAGTACTATTAGACTATACTGTAGCAGGCATGAGCACGTACGTACGTAGTAGTTGGTCCGATTGCACGAGGTGATGCAAGTGAAAGCGGTGCATCTCATCCACGTACTGCACCCCGCTTCGTCCAATCCATCATGTCATGTCAGCGAGCACTCCCATCCGCCTACATTTCAGGATACCTTTCATCGTGCGGAAGGAGCTCTGAGTGGTCTACCCCTTTCTCACTTTGAGGAAGCAGCATCTCGATGCCGGGGTAACGTCTATCTTCGTTCCAACGACGATGAAGTGAGGCGGTCGTGCTTTACTACCGGAGCACGCTAATTCAGAATAGGCCCGACGATAGGCGAGCGACGGGCAGGCACGAGGACAAAGAATCAACGGCTATCTTTAGAAACGGTAAATTGGTGGATGTTCCAACGTACTGGGACATGGCACGTTTCAAGCAAGGCAAACAAAATGAAAAAAAATCGTCTTGAAGTCTGGACGACGGCTACACATACGCGCACGGGGCCACATCCTTTCCAATGTATCCGAACGGATGGCTTGTGAACAACCGTAAGGAACTGTTCGAACACTCGGCATTCCCTGCGATGTACATAGATAGATAGGTGGCATCATCTCATCGGAAGCGACACGGCGAACGCCTACGGCCATGCATTCGTTTAGTCCCCTCCAGGAATGAAACGACGGACCATGCACAAACACTTGTGCGTATTGAACACCTCCGATATGCCTTGCGACGACTGATGATGGTTTATCGGAAGTAGCTGATCACCTACCCCGCGTTTTCCTCTGTTTTAACGTTTTACCCAACATTCGATCTACATGGACCCTTCGTCTTTTTCTCATCCGCCGACATAGATGAGCGTGTTACCGCAATTTAGAACTCTGAGCCACCTGCTGCAGGTTTTGCGGTGATATTGCACATACTTCTCATGAACACATGCATGCTTGTTCGAGGCAGGCTCCGGTCAACACTTGAGCGCAGAGGAGAACGAGACGTGAGAAAAAAAAAGAGAAAGACCTCAGTATTACTCCTCACCCTCTGTCACCAACGACTGCCACCTCTTGACGACTCTAAACGAGTTTCTGTCGTCGAGATCCAAGAGCAGGAGTGCGCAGCTCGTTTCAGCCGCAATCTCCGGACCCAGGGACGTCTTTGCCGAAGCAGGAACATCCCAGATCTGGTATTCGGGAAGGTACAGGAATCGCTAGAGTTTCGGACGGACGAAGTGCAAGTACTGGATGTCAATTGCGGTTGTTCCGGGAAGGGGTTTTTCCTCAACTGACGCTGGAACCCGAAACAGTTCAAGAAGAAAGCTCCTGGGTTCATCCAGATCTCGTGCGGAAGCAAGACGATCCGCACTATGAGCAACTTGTTCTGGGGAAAATTCCGCGGCAAGACGCACTACTTTCCCGGACGTTGCTTCGACAAGTACTACATGCGCTAGTGGTCAGAGGTGTAGGTTGTGCACCAATCACAAGCTGCCAAGGGTTGGATGGGGATCGACCTTCAACATATTTTTTTGACTGAACACTGCCAGCCCACCGTGTCCGTTCGAGTAACGCCACTCTCCAAGATGCGGGAATACTTGCCCACTTCGGGGTGCCGCCTCTCCCCCTCAGGCTGTAATCGGTGCCCAACCTCCCAAAACATGTATCTAGTAGGTCTATAGCGTCTAACCTCGAGCACGGCGGGCGGGAATTTGTCACGGCTAAAGCTCCTCGCGGACACAGAAACGGCCGTGTCAGGTGAGTACTCCGGCAGAAACCCTTTGCCGCAAAGGGCCCTGGCGAGGGCCGTTTTACCCACCCCGTTGTCCCCCAGAACAAGTATCTTGAAGAGCGCGGAGGGAGGCCGTCCGGCGACTGTCCACACCGCACCTAAGAGACGCCAACGAGTCGACCAGCACAACAATCACACAGACAGATGGCTCAACGCAGACTTTGGAAAAACGCAAGCCAGGGTGTTGCTGCTCGTAGCTGCACATGGCGTGAGTGCCAATGGGTAAGAAGTACAACATAGCGCGGAGACCACGTTTTCACCGCTAGTTCTCCGAAGAGAAACAAAATCGGAATGAGGGAGCCATGGAGTAGAGTTGTTTGATGTCTCCTATGCGGACCTTTTCTCGTACGGCCAAAGCATTCATCGTTTGCTGAACTTGCGGCATGGAGAATGGCGCGACTGTTTTACTATAGATAGCGTTGCTTACGGGTTTGCCAAGGGTAGCGCAGCTCGTCCGCCCATCGCCTCTCTCTCAGAAACGCTACGTGCTTGGCCAGCATCCAAGGGAAGAATACTGCGGCTTTGATACGACCGCACACACCGCTCTACGAACGGGGGGGGGAGGGAGAGCCGAGCGGGAGGCATACAAAAACGGCGGGTGAATAGGTAGGTGCATAGACTAGACGATGAAGGACAAACGAGGGGCATGGTGGAAATCGAGTAGGCCATGAGGTTGGATCAAGCCAGAGTGTGCAAGAGAGAGTGAGAGAGAGGGTGAGAGAGAGAGAGAGAGAGAGAGAGAGAGANNGAGAGAGAGAGAGAGAGAGAGAGAGAGAGAGAGAGAGAGAGAGATCTTCAATAGCGCGTGAACATGATCAGCATGGCCTGTGCACGTAGCCAGAAAGAACGGCGACAATCGAGTCGAGAGCTACGGTACATCTACTTGCCAAACTCTCCTCTGTCCGCATCACCAGTCATGAGGCAAATAGTAGTCTATAACAGTAATTACAAGTATGGAAATAATTGGTTGTTAAGAATTCGCAGCTTTATTTGTTGTTTTGACGAAGGGCGAGCTTGTCTTCAAAATTGGGAACAACTGTCCTACCAGGTATGTATGTATGTATGTACAGAGCAGGCTTTCGTTCGGTTGGGTGGATTTCAGGCACCCTGCTTTGTTTGTCCTCAGCACGTTTAGGTATGTGGACTACAGTTTATCATCATACTTCCTCTGTATAATAAGTTAGGGTACCTAAATTTGTACGGGCCCTTAACCGTGTCCGATCTGTTTTCCGATTTTTTTGTTGAAATCTTCGGAGTTTTTTTAGCAAGAAACATTTATTTTTATTTTTATGCATGCGCCACCCCGCGTGCATGAGCGGCCGAGAACAAACCAGTCGGCCTGAAAAAGGCCGTATGTTGCATGTATCCTGCCCCCTCCGACCAGGCGGGGGGGGCGGGGCAATGACAAAAACAAGGTAAAAATACCAAGAATTATCCCTGACCCTAGACCTAGCCCCCCCTCTACTCAACGATCCATGATGCGTCCCCCGTACTAAAAACAGCATAATAGTGGCCCCACACTGAAAACAAGACACTTGGGGTGACCACACTAAAAACAAGACACTTGCGGGGCAAAGCAAGCAACAGTAGGGCCCTCATCCAACCCCCCCCTCTACTCAACGATCCATGTCGCGCCCCCTATACTAAAATCAGTATAGTAGTGAACCACACTAAAACCAAGACACTTGGGGGGCACACTAAAATCAAGATACTTGCGGGACAAAAAGAAGGGTTGGTTGGTGGCGGGGAAAAAATAGAAAAAGTCGACAATTAATTCCTACCGCCATGGCATAGCGCCTACCAACCGATAATTTCGGTGCCCCTTTTGCGAGGTGGTGTGCTGGGGGGCGATTCCATCGCTAGAGTGAGTAGTGGGCCGGTAGGGTACTAATATTAGATGGTTTTGAGAATTTTGTCGAGAATTCTCAAAAAAAATCTCAAAATATTTTCCCAAAAATATTCCCAAAACAGGCCAAAATAGGGTATATTTTGACCAATATTAGGTACAGAAATAGATGTTCGTTTTTTTTTCTTCTTTTTTTCTATCGCTTCGTCTTTGTTATATCTTTCGTACAAACCCGACTATGCTACCATCACTAACACGGTTGCACCCAGACAATCTATTGCATTTAGGTACCCTAACTTATGATACAGAGGAAGTATGTAAAACGTTACATACATGCACCAATGCACCTACTTTGTTCTTCAGTGTCGACTCCACAGGGTACAGCTCCGTGAGTTTCTTGTGCTGCCCGTAAGCTCGACAGGGTAGTGCAAACGGGAGGAAGCCCATTGTCAGGCAAATTCTCCACCCCTTCTTCCCAAGAAGCACACGGCCCCATCGATCAGGTTCTGATTCATCATCCGTCTCTCCTGCACTCTGCTGCTGTTGTTCAGGAGTAGAACCCTCGGCAGCCGTACCGTCATCTATGAGCGGGCAGCGCGAAAGGCAAATTGGCATGCAAAGGGACAGGGCAAAATGATTTGTAAACGCCAAGCAGATAAGCGCGCCTCGACGCCCCTTTGAGAGATATGGCGCATGATAACCAAAACGACATGTGTGGTGGTCAGCGGGGAGAGAACCATGAACTTCGCCCCGCAGCAGTTTTCAGATACCTCTCGACCTTGCCTACCCCGGTCACACGCCGTACAGTACAGCACAACTACTAGGTGGTACTGCTAGTGCCTCGCTGTACATACTTACGATGTACTGGAGTATCTGGTACAAGCAGGGGTTGGTGTAGTCGTCGGAAGGTTTTCCTATCGAACCTTCATTGCCCATTGGGTTGTTGGGAAGCTTCTTCTCCCTTGCCAAGCATTGGCAGCACGGGAATCCGGACTCCTCCTCCCTGTTGCTTATCGACTCGAACTCTCCTGCGTTCAAGCAGCAGCAGCAGATCCGGAGGCTGCATGGTGCGCTGCCAGGCAGGCCGATCGGGATCTCGTCAAAGTCGCCGACGTATTGGTCTGGTGATAGCTTGGGCTGTGCGTACACACCTTTCCCGCGTGTTGCCGTTGTGTCTTCATCTTGCTTCCGACGCTTCCGGCGGCCACGGCCGCCTATCTTGTTGGCTGTGTGGTGTACAATAATGTGTCGTCGACAGGTGTGCGTTCAGAACAGATGGTGCGTAGCATCTACATGTATCTACACTTTTGAAGTATTACTTATATCCCACCTTTGTGACCCCGGCCACCCGATCAACGCATTGCATGTTATTTAGTATACACGTACTTGCAGTCTACATAGGACTAGAGATGCAGCAGTGCGCCGTACCGCCCTACCGCCGTACACCGAAATTGTGTGCACCGATAGATGGGACGAACCGTACGCACACACATTCATTGGCCACCTGGTTAACGCAGTCGATGCTAAAACCTAAGCCACCAACATGTTTTGTCCGACTCTATGGACACACACAAACAACGTAGGAACCTTGTTCCTCCCCTGCCCTGCATAATGTACATCTATCTTCTCGGAGAGTACATGACCATACAGCAGTACACGTCAGCAACGCGGCGCCCAAACATTTTGCGTGCAGTAGCCTACCTACAGCGTAGTCCTACCTACCTTTCACCATTGAGCACCAGACGCGGGCGAGCGTACAGAGGGGTGGCGATCTTGGGCTCGCGCGCTGCTCGCATGTATTCCCCCCCACGTCCTGTTGCCTGGTTGCCCGTTGGATCGTCGGCTTGGTGTGTGTCGGTTACAGGAACGCCATTCCCCGCACATCCAAATACAATACATCTAGCAGTTGGTGACCCCCTCCCCCGCTGATTTTGGATTTGTTTTGGTACGACTATTGACGACGAATTTGAAATTTGAATCAAGTCGTTTGGCGCTCCTGTGGCCATTGTTGCTGTTGCTGCTGGCCGACGTCCTTTGGCTGTGCATGACTACGGAGCCATGGAGGTCCCCGCAGTGGATGTGGCGAGCGCCTTGAGAGAGGCGGCGGCCTTGGAGGAGAAGAAGCTGAAGGAGAAGCAGCAGGCTGAAGCCGACAATGCGCTCGCTGAGGAGGTACAATATAGAGTCGTAGTCCAGTCCATGCGTGTTGACTGCGAGACAAATCCGTCGAGTTTGCGTGCCGGCGAGGTGTAGAGGTTGTCCTTCATGGACAACGCGATGGACACAGGCAACTGTTGGAGTGGCCGTGCATTGGCTATTACTGCCCTTAGTCGGCTAAGTTTTGTTGACTTTTGGTCATCGACTGCTGCAATGGACTGGACTGATGCTGTAAAATGCGGTGCAGTCTTTCTACGTAAAAGTCCGCTGTGGGGTTCGGCAGTAGTATGTGGGCGACGGCGGTGCATTCTCCTTAAAGTATATCGCTCCCAAACTCTGATGCTCCTATGCTCTCCTCCTGACACCACTCCAACCCTGCACGATGTGGGCGTGTTTCTTTGGAACCCCCAATTTTGCTGGGGGGGGCAGGGGGGTGTTATTTACCGACTCATGCATGTGTCCCCAGGCTCAAGGTGTTGCTTTCGCAGCCGATCAAGGTGTGATATATTTTGCGTATCTATGCCACCTACGGTAAAGGGAATTGGGAGTATTGTGTTGTAAGTGGTTGTTCAGGCCATCGCAGGACCGAAACACAACAACAAACCAGGTGTTCACATCTATCTCGTATTTCGTTTTCTCCCCGCGGGCCTAAATTGACTGCTGGCTTTCATCATCGACGGCCTTGTTGCTCAGGTTGATGTCGAGGTGTTCTCTGCCTACGAGTGCCGATCCCTCCCCCCAGAGCTCGGCAACGCGCACCCGGGAGACATCAGCGAACCGGGCCTCCTCTCAGCGGTGCCGCTGCCGCCTTCCACGTATGGCTCTGAAGCGTTTGACGGTCCAGTCATCGACGAGACCAAGCTCAGCAGGCTACAGCTAGAAGGGGTGAGCCATAATTTCGGGCAGAACGGGCCCGGAGATATGGAACGTCGAGATCGGGCCGAGGCTTAGTTTGTTCTTTTCATCGCCATTGCTATCCAGCACAGGGTTTGTATACATTTTAGTGCAGGATCCACCTCCGAAAGTGGGTTCCATGACCTCCTTTTCTCATTCTTCGTGACAATTTGAGCCTCAGATTCTTGACGTAATACTTCAAGTATTTCATCTGCAGACCCGTTCTGAATTGGCTTGATTTAGGTAGTCTTCGCTGTCTGTGTGTGCTTGTTCGCTGGTTTTCTATACCAGACGAAGCAGAAGCAAGGGTCAGGGGATAGGGGGTGGCATATTTTGGGTGGTTTTGATAAGCTTGCTCTCTACACGCTGGACGTATGAATATTTTTTATGGCGGCAGCAGTTTTCCCCCTGCAGCACTTGGAAATCGAAATGCTCGCAATTGCCGCACAAAGAGAGTGCATGCGATTGACCTGTCTTCGGCGCAATTACTTCTATCTATTGCGCCATTGCACGCATACAACAAACAGCTGAGTATTTTCCCCGCCTGCTAGGCTAATTCTTTTTTTTCCCGGAATTTTCTCGTGACGATGATGGAGACAGGTACTCTACGCTGCTCAGAGGCACACCCACCTCCTTCCGGACGGGAAACGGGCAGGGTTCTTCATCGGCGATGGGGCAGGGGTAGGAAAGGGGCGGCAGATTGCCGGGATCATCTTGGACTCGTGGGCTAGGGGTCGGAAGAAGCACATCTGGTGCAGTATCTCGAACGACCTAAAGCTGGACGCGCAGAGGGACTTGAAGGACGTCGGGTGCCACATCAACGTCATCGACGGCTGTCAGGTACCTATTTTATGTTCCTGCTTCTCCTGCTGCTGTTGCTGCTGCTGTTGTTTTTGGGCGTGCTTTTACTCCAGTAAGACGTCCCAAACTCTCCCCTCGACCTACCTCGGTATTCCGTACCAACAGAACAAATTTATGGCACAGATTTCCGTCGAAAACAAACAAATGTTATGGTACAAAATCAAAGACCGTTGAAATATTGCCGACGCTGCAAAACGGAGGGAAGTTTTCCTGGAAATATTCCACGCTTGTCACGTTTATTTTGAGGCGTGATAGCTGCCGTATCCGTGGATGTATGGCTTGTGCGGAGCTGGAGGTGGTAGCGGGCGAGCGAGCTATAATAGTGGATTACGTTGGAATAGGAAGTTTTGCATGATTGCCAGATTCATTTGTATTCCACCATCAACGGTACAGGCATGGCGTGCGGGCAAGGTGAGGTGGCTGGTGGGAGCATCGATGTTCTTGGAGGGGAAGGCATCGTGTCGGTGTGCTTCCACAGCAAAGAAGATCTGGAGGGCAATCTACTCCATCTTACGTGTTTGGTCTGCCTGCCTTTCTATCGCTCTCTCTGCCCCGCCCCCCCCCCCCCCCCCCCCCCCCCCCCCCCCCCCCCCCCCCCCCCCCCCCCCCCCCCCCCCCCCCC